GCTATTGACTCACAGATTCAATTTTTAATATTATATATAGATAAGAGCAAATATATATATTTATATAAAATATTTCAATATTTGTTAAAACTATTTATTTAAACATTATAATTATAATTATATTATATTATATTAGTCTATATTTTTTAATATATAAAAATATTATTTGGCTTTTTATTATTAAAAAATCAATTTCAATTTCAATAATACTTTTAGTTTTACTATTTAAGATATTTGTTTAAAAACAAAAGGAATTGGTTTGACCTTATAATATTTTTATTAACAAGTATTTATTTTTAAAAGAATATATTATAAAATTGCTAATTGTAAAAAAGCTTTTAAAAAATATTTATAATATAAAGGATATTTCTTTAATATAAATAAATAAATATATATATATATAAAGTTTTTTTAATATACAGTAGGTATCATAAATATTCAGAATTTTTTATGATAAGTAAAAAAAAATATTTTTTTTATTAATCATCATTGAAACTTTATATATATAATTACTAATTAAAAAAAATTCTTTTAATTATCTAGCTTCCCCTCCTCTCGATCAATCACCTCTAAAACATGATTTTTCATATATGTCGCTAATATAAGAAATAGATCTTTATCTAATTCATCCCATACCCTATGAATAATTTGCTAAAAAATATTATTTGAAAGATTTTTTTTATTAGATGTAAGTTTGATTCTTTTTCAACCTTGCCCTTAAATATTGCTCATAAATTCTCGATTGGATTTAGGTCAGGTGAATAGGCAAGTAATCAAGAATTCAGATATCTTGGTCTTTAAGGAAACAATATGTTTTTTTTGAATTATGAACAAGAGAATTATTCTGTTAAAAATAAAACCTGTAGCGAGCTAACCTAGAAAATTGAGGAAAAAAATGAGTTTCAAGAATTTCTTGGTATTTAGTAGAATTAAAATTTTCTATAAATAAAACTAGCGTGATTGGATCTTGTATCAAAAATACATTTCAAGTATAAACTTTATAGGAATGTTTCACTATACTTCGGTGTGTTCACGACTCTGCACAATGGTATCTTACTAACTGTATATTTCTAAACATCTGAAAGGTCATTTCATTAGAAAAAATTGTGTAATGCCAGTTATGGTCAACATGATCTTGAGTCCATTTAAGACAAGCAGTAACATAGTGAGGCTGGAGAAGAAGAACAGCAACTGGATGACAAATGACAAACTAAAGAGCTTGTTTTAATATATGTTGAATGATATGAACAGAAACCTTCAAGTGGAGATTTTTGAGGACAAGTCTTTCGACCATTTCAACTGCAGTAGCAGCTTTATTGATTTGCACAATTCAACTAAGGTAACGAAGTTGTAGAAGTATGAGAATTAGGGGTCTTCCAGGTATAGGAAGTAGTATAATGAAAGATCTTTTTTTAATTCGATTGATTATATCATATACTGTAAACTTTGGGTAATCTGTTATATGAATTATTTCTGCAGGTTTTCGGACATTATCTGCCCAAAGCTGACTTACGACTGTTTTTTGCATTTCGAGCTTCAATAAAGATAACATTTATATTAATTTTTTTTTTAATAGCTATAAAAAAAATTTTTTTTAAATACAAGTCATGTAAACATATTCTTACTTTAATTAAAATTTATGTTATATAGATTGTTGTTTTATAAAATGATGCGTAACATAACTTTAAATGTACTAGATCAAAATTTCGGATATTTATGACACCTACTGTATAAGTGTATTTATGCAAATACAAGAAAAAATAAAGATTTGGTATGATTTTTCCTGTTTCATATTTTTGTTTAATTTAATAACTGTAATTAATCTTTTAGATGCTTCATTTATGAGTTTTGTTTTATAATTCAGTATACTATAATTTAATATATTTTAACAAAATTCATTAAAATTTAACAATTTATATTCAAAAAATATTTCCATAAAATAATGGTAACAAATATTGTAAAGAAATTTTGCCACTGAGACCTGTGAATTCATAGTACAGTAGTTAGTACTCTGCAGGTCAGATCATAAGATACCGGTTCAATCCTATATGAAGATAATTGAATAGTATTAATATGGTATCTGACACCATGACCAATTATGTGTCATTTCCCATAAAAAACTATTTTACATGTTGATTCAGCAGACATTGGAATTGTAATCTTCCCATTAAGGTGTAGTGGTGTAATGATCATCTGGTCAGTGCTACGATGATTGTCTAATGAAAAGATGCCATATATTTGGATATATAGACTGGATTGTACTCTATCTTATCTAACCCTTACTAACTTCCAAAACAATTACTCATTTGGATGTATAGATTGGGCTGTACTCCATCTTATCAAACCTGTACAACACTTTTATGGTGGTTGAATCCCTAGCTTGGGCTATTCCAATCCAGTGCAGAGCTTAAATAATGGTACCAGCCACAGGTGGTAACAAGGATCATAGCTTGTATAAGCCCAGAATAGTACAAGTTGTGATCTGAAGACCAAGCAATAAAGTGACAGAAGCACCTGGACCAACTCTCCTAATTAAAACTTCTCTAATATAAGTCATCGGATCAATAGGTTAGGTAGTTTAAACTATACATGTGGTAGAATTGAATTCAGACATTTTTCAAAAACCGTATTATGGTAGAATTACTAAGTAACATATAGTAAATAATTGGAATTCGTATTTAATTCGGAATCGTATTGTCGATCAAATTTCCTTTTATGGTAATACGACCACATGTATGGTTTAAACTAGTAGTAGGATTTCTATACCTTATAGATTCCCCCCTGGTATCTTTGAGATTAATTGTTACAGATAGTTTAGAAACATGGTTATCAGAAGTAAGGTAAGGTGTGCAGGAATAATCTACATAGAATAAAAAATATATTGACTTGTATAAGTCCTTAGCTATAATGTAATTGATATAATGTACTTATCAATAAAAACGTTTGCAGCAATATGCATTTAACATCTTAAAAAAAAAAAAAAAGAAAGAAATTTTGCCACTGATTGGCAGTAAAATTCAAAAAACCTTTGCCAATATTTACTTTTCTTGAGATTTATCCAATGTCTAATAATATTTGAAACTTTTTTATTATTGACTATATTTTATCCAATACATTGTTTGTTAATATACCTTCTTTAATTCATATTTATTTAACAAGCCATTTGCCAATACCCTCAAAAAAAACAATATATAAAATCAATAATTAAATGCCAAATAGAATTAAAGTATAATAGATAAAGAAGTTCTAATCACTTGATATAATTTTTGCTAACAAATCATTTTTGTATAACATTTTTTTTTTTATTATCGACTAGTAGGGCCTTACCCAGCGTTGACTTTTATTTAGTTCACATATGTATCTTACATGTTATTACAGGTAATTACTATCTATAAACTACTCTAGCCCACCGTGGATTATTATCGGATTTTACCCCCATATTGGCTTTATGCTATTGACTGCCATTTCAGACAAGTCAAGGCTAACGTGCATATGCTCCATTAGTGTCGTTATTTTATGTTAAGTTCTATTTCTAACCGGGGATATTTTTAAAGGAAAGTGAAAGTGGAAACTGGGGAGTAGTACCTATTATGGCGAATAGAACTCTGTAGAGGAAACCTCTAACCCAAACCGAACTATCGGTAACTTGCAGGAAGAGACATCAGGTACCACGGGAAAGCGATCACCAAGCCATCTTTTCTCAATATGGATGTCTTCTACACCTTTTTGTTGTCCAACTTCTGGCAATCATCATAGCACCAACCGGACGATCGTTACACCACAACACCTTTTCTGGAGATCACAATCTTAATGCCTACCGGATCGGCATGTGAAATGACTTCTTATAAGAAATGGCACATAACTGGTTATGGTACTGGATATCATATTAATTCTATTCAATCGTCTTCACATGGGATTGAACTGATATCTTGTGATCTGACCTGTGGAGCACTAACCACTGTGCTATAGATCCACAGGTCTTTATAATTGCTAAATTATATATGGTTTTAAAATATTGTTTATTTTAAATTTAAATAATATAAATAATAATTCTATATTTAAAATATTATTTTTATCTTATAATCAACTATTAATAATTTATAATACAAATACCTTTATATATAAATAATTTTTTTCTATTTTTTTTACTTCAAGATTTTTTAGAAATATATTTATTACAATACTTAGTAGACCAATATACTGTATATATAATTAAAATAACTATATTATACAATATATCTCATGTCTAAATAATAAACATGTATTAATAATTATCTTTTTAATAAAAACAATAGAACAAGTTTTATCCTAATATTAAAAAAAAGTATAATAAAAAAATATTTTTTAATAAAATCTTATCAAGTTTTATTTCAATAAAGCAAAAAATATTTAAATAATCATTTATATCAAATTGTTATTTATAGTATAAATGTAATTTTTTAATAATGTAATTTTTCTATTATTATTTTTTTTTAAAAATGTTTTAAAAAAATTTATTTAACAATAATATAAAATATTCGGTTATACTGTATTTATATTATTTTATAAGTTAATTTTATTATTATTCCTAAATATCATTTCTACCAGAAGAAATATTTCATAAAAATTATTTTAATCATTTATAAATTTAAAAGATTGAGATTTTGTTTGTTAATGTTTATTTTTATTAATTAAATTAAATAATTCGAAGAGTTTTTTTATACTTATTATATTATTTGTTTTAATCTTATTAAATTAATTATCAATTTATTAAAAAAAATCTACAAAATATATAAATATTAGGTTTAGGTTTAATTTACACCTAGGACATGAGAAACGTTACTTAAAATATAATGGATTTTATTGGGTTATTGTGTTTTAAAAGGTCATGATTAGAAATAGTTTGATTTTATTCAGCAAAAGCAAATATTATGAACAAAATTTAGGGAAAAAACAAAAAAAAAAAAAAAAAAAGCAAAAAAAAAAAAACAAAAAATTTTTTTTTTCATTGAATCATTTAATTAATAGAAGTTCTTGTGCGTCATCGAAGGAGATAGTGATTCTTCCAAGAGTTCCGATGACAACTGCGATGAATTAAACCTATTTAGTGCGGCTAGGATAATTTTTCGCGTGGGCTATGTGTGAATGGTGAAAGGTGGTTGCATATTTAGCAATTTCATAAAATGGAAGTAAAGATGAGAATGCAAAAATAAACATACTGCAGGTCTTTTAGCTTGTTCATTTTCTATATATGCGCCTTTGAGAAAGCGAGGTGATATTACGGTTATTTTGTTCTGTGGTCCAACCTCGACCCTTCTCATTCCTTCAGCTAAAGGTGACCCAAAAGAAGGTCGAAATACTTCGTGATCTGGCAGCTCTGTTTAAACGAGAGGGGTTATTATAAAATCAAGTGATTCTAATAATAAAAAATGACGAATAATTACCTGTCTTGCGCACACATAATTCTTCTGGATGACCAAGTCTTAATTTGAGATGTG